CTGGAACAGAACTAGTAGTATAGCAGAATATTTAGGGAGTCACACGGACTCCTGCATATGCCAAATCAGGGAGTCCGACAGTAAATCTGGGAGTATTTGACTCCGGACTCGCGTTAATTTCGGAGCACCCTGCGTAATGCACCGTAACGTAACCTAACATAATGCAGACGCTGCCAACCTGTGATTCATGAAAATAGTAAGGCTTTTCTTTTCTTGCAGCAGGCGGCCATTTTGTTTGTATGTTATGCGCGCAATGAATGATGGGACTAACTCTAGATCACGCGTGATCCAATATGGCTGCGCCCACAATCGCCAGATATTTCTCGGCTCACAATGTAAAAAACATTAATTTTTCACAAGTTGTAAAAAATCGTAAGTTTTTCAGTTTGATCGTACATTCGTAGAAACATCATGGAATTCGTAAGGAATACGAAAAAATCGTAAGGGTTGGCAGGTCTGATAACGTCACGTCGTGGGATCGTTTGGCATCGGATATGCTGTCCAACTGTATGAGACATCCCGGTCTCACCGCCGACTGCTGACTCGCGATATGATACGGGTTGTCCAATAGCAGCGAATGCTTCCTCTCCTCACCACTAGAGGCGCTGGCGTAGCTAGCAGCACTCGCAGCACTGTGATACTGCACGACGCAAGATTGAGACAAATCAGCACAAAGTATAAGAGACGAGGTACTCACGTAGAATATGCACACTAAGATAAGAATTGTGCACAGTCAATTCGCTTGAGACAAATCACAACAAGGTCAAGTATGAAAGATACACTTTCACACGTAGAGCACGTGTATTAAGCAAGGTTAGACTTGCAGTCTATTCGCTTGAGCCAAATCACCGCAAAGTAAAGTATGAGAGATACACGTAGAATACGCATGCTAAGATTAGACTTTCATCCTCGACGCGTACCGCGGCGCCCCCTGGCGGACGCTCGCGGCGCCGCCTGGCGGACGCTCGCGACGCGTTTGTGACTTACGCGTCTTCTCTGCGTTTGTTTTTGTATTTCCTGGAGCATGCTGCGGGCGTCGATGACGGCCTGGTAGAGGCGCAGCGTCGTGCCATCCGACACAACAAACACCGCACTCGAGGAGTTCGACATCGAGCCCAGACTCGTGCTGCGCGGGAAAACACAAACAAAAACACGTTACGTACGCGCGAAAACACACACGCACGTTTTGTACGAAGAGTTCGACATCGAGCCGAGACTCGTGCTGCGCGGGAAAACACAAACAAAAACACGTTACGTACGCGCGAAAACACACACACACACGTTACGTACGAAGAGTTCGACATCGAGCCGAGACTCGTGCTGCGCGGGAAAACACAAACAAAAACACGTTACGTACGCGCGAAAACACACGCGCACGTGACGTACGAAGAGTTCGACATCGAGCCACGACTCGTGCTGCGCACGAAAAAACATAAACACACTTTACGTACATGCAAAAAACACACTCGTTATGTACATGATCGAGATTCAAGACACACGGCAAACACGAATAAAAGAGTCACGGTAGACAGATATAATACCATAGAGATATAAGTGATATTCACGGTATGCCGCTATACATTTTGTATGTCATTATGACGTGCATATTTATTCGCTAAGTTAATTTTATGCAGTTCTAACCAGTTTATAAGAGTCACTGCAAGTTAATTTAATTTAACTTTATCACATTTAATTTTATGCAGTTTAAACCGGTTTATAAGAGTCACCGCGAGTTCGTAACCGTGTTAGCAAGAGCAGTAACTCCCCCCAGTCCAGGACCAGCTCACTTTTACGGATACAAAAGTGCGAAAACGAATTCAACAAGTCTCATTGTTAGTCCCAACGTTAACATTTCTCCCCCCTTTTGGATGCAACTTTTGATCAGGACTTTTCATTGGATGTCACTTTTACAGCTACAAAATCGAGTCTTATCATTAGTCATAACATTAAAATTTCTCCCCTCTTTAGAACGGATCAGTCTTATCTATATTTATTGTCTTATCATTAATTACAACATTAAAATTTATGCCCCCTTTTAGACGTAACTTTTAGACGTAACTTTTAGACGTAACTTTTAGACGTAACCTCCTCCCTCCTCCTCCTCCTCCCTCCTCTCTCCTCCCCCTCCTCCTCCTCCTCCTCATCCTCCTCCTCCTCCTCCTCCTCCTCCTCCTCCTCCTCCCCTTCCCCCTCGCGGACAGCCACATACCTGGGCAGCAGCGTGGGAACCCACGCGACGTTGGAGAACGCCGATATCTCCGGCGAGTTGAGCCGCGCGAGCTCCTTGATTCCTCCGGACTTTGACAGCGGCCCGACGGTGTCGACCTTCCACAGGATCAGCTCGCTGCAGAAGCACATGCGCGGCACGTCGTGGGCGTCGCGGATGATGCCGCTCGCCTCGCACGGCGGCAGCACGCGCGGCAGGTTGTGGTGCGACGTCGTCAGCAGCAGCGGCAGCACCGGGTGGCACTTCACGTCGTTCGTGCGGAAGCGGTGGCCGCACACGCGCGCCGAATGCGCCACGCTCACCACCGTCTCGAACCGCGGCGACGACGAAGACGTCGCCCCGCCGCCGCCGCCGCCGCTGCAGCCGCCCGCCGCCGCGTCGTCCTCCGCCGCAAACCTCACCTGCCAGAGGTTCAGCGTGCCGTTCTCGTGTTTCGTCTGCAGCAGCACGTTCGTCGTGAACGGCGAGCGGACGCCGCCGCACGGCGCCCCCGCCGCGACGCCGGCGCCCCCTGGTTTCTCGAGTTTCGGACTCTCGTCTCCCTCGGTGCTGAGTCTCATCGCAGCGCCCTTGATGTCGAGGAGCTTGTGTTGGACGTAGACTGCGAGGTGCTGGTTGAGTGTCGTCGCGTCCGCGATCGGGGTCCCGCGATCGGAACGCCTTTTTCGGTATGCAGTGACGCAAAAGCTGACCTGGGCCTGCCTGAATCCTGAGGGGACGGGTTCATCCAGCCACTCCACCATCCTGCGCGACAGAGGGAGAGGGTTAGACGTTACAGGGAGGAGGAGGAGGAGGAGGAGGAGGAAGGAGGAGGAGGAGGAGGAGGAGGAGGAGGAGGAGGAGAAGCTGACCTGGGCCTGCCTGAATCCTGAGGGGACGGTTCATCCCAGCCACTCCACCATCCTGCGTGACGGAGGGAGAGGGTTAGACGTTACAGGGAGGAGGAGGAGAGGAGGAGGCGGAGAGAGGAGGGAGGAGGAGCGGAAGCTGATCCTGCGCCGCGGCTGAATCCTGAGGGGACGGGTCATCAGCCACTCCACCATCTGCGCGACGGAGGGAAAGGTTAGACGTTACAGGGAGGAGGGAGGGGGCAGGCAGGGAGGAGGAGGAGGAGGATGAGGAGAAGCTGACCTGGGCCTCCTGAATCCGAGGGGGACGGGTTCATCCAGCCACTCCACCCATCCTGCGTGACGGAGGGAGAGGGTTAGCGTTATCAGGGAAGAGGCAGGAGGAGGCAGCGGAGGAGAAGCTGACGCTGAGGCCTGCAATGAATCCTGAGCGCGGACGGGTTCATTCCAGCACCTCCACAATCCTCGCGACAGAGCGGAGATGCGTTAGACGCCTTACAGAGGAGAGAGGAGGAGGGCAGGAGGAGGAAGGAGGAGGAGAGGAGGGATGCAGGCAGGAGGAGCTGACCTGGGCCTGCCTGAATCGCTGAGGGGACGGCGTTTCATACAGCCACTCACCATCCTGCCGTGACGGAGAAGAGGCAGGTCTCCCAGGATGAAATTGAAAACAGGGCGGGAGGGGAGGGGCGGAGGGCGAAGGAAAGTGAGCGGGACAACTAGGGGCGGTCCGCGGGCATGTTTTTTTCCGTTACACTACATTAATGCGGTAAAATACGCCACCACACCATAGACGGTATTTGGGGTCTTGTATAATAAGATAGCCGATTCTGTGCTACAGTAGGGTCTGGAGTTCGGCGACAGGTTAACTGTTTGCACTGAGTATGTGCTGCCAGTGCCATGCGTGCGTACGGTAATAAATACACGCGTCACGCTCCTGGTCGAATGGGAATTACTTGACGATCGATTCCCGCGCTTCAAACTTTTTAATTGTGGTGGAATTTAATCGCCGGGCGCAACGATTGAACAGGGGAGTTTTCCCAACGGGGCGCTGCGCCTGCGTTTGGCCGCAACGTAGGGAAACCTGAGAGGATTAGACGTTACAGAGGAGAGAGAGGAGCGAGGAGGAGATGAGGGAAGGCAGGAGAAAGCGAGGAGGGAGAGGACACGGCCTAGGGGAGGAGGAGTGGCAGGGGGACGTGGAGATCCCATTAGAAGGAAAGATCTGGGGTTCTGTGATTACGAGATCTGTAGACCTTATGACGGATGTCGATCATTAGTAGTAGTAGGGTAACTAACACTGCTGCCTTTATTATCATTACTATCATTATTATTATATTATTATCATTATATATATATATATATATATATATATATATAGTATATATATATATATATATATATACGATACATTACAATAGATACATATGCAGATACATGTTTATCGAGAAAGCATTAACGTTTTTAAGGTAATTAAAGCATTGCTGCTCACTGCTAGTTAATTCATGCGTACTATCTATCGCCGGATCTAACGGACTAGACTAAGCGCTAATTAAAGCATCGCGGTCATGTTAGCTATCTATTGCGCTACTAACGAACTAATAGACTAAGGTAATTAAAGCACGCTCTGTCACTGCTAGCTATTCATGCGTACTATCTATGGTACCAGACGAGGAAGCTGCCGTCGACGGGGTGGGATAGCAAATCACCCTGTCAGGACTCTCATGCAATCCTCATCAGACTCCCTCTTCTTAGATCCAGCGGCATCGGCCCTGGTTCATCTTACGAAGAAACACATCGCCCGGGCGGGTGTTTTTTTTTTTCTCATCTACCGCACATAAACACATCGCCCGGTGTCAGTCTACGACATAAACACATCGCCCGGTGTCATATCTACCGACAGAAACACCATCGCCCGGTGTCATCTACTGACCAATAAACACATCGCCCGGTGTCATCTACCGAGCATAAACACATTCGCCCTTGGTGTCAATCTAGCGACATAAAACACATCGTCCGGTGTCATCTACCGGACATAAACACATCGCGGTGTCAACTCTACCGACATAAAACACATTGCCCGGTGTCATCTACCGGACATAAACACATCGCCCGGTGTATCTACTCATTAAAACACATGCGGTGCTCATCTAACAGACATAAAACACATCGTCCGGTGTCAAATCTACCGACATAACACACTCGGGCGGTGTCATCTACCGACATAAAACACAGTCGCCCGGTGTCAAATCTACGACATAAACACATCCCCGGGCTGTCATCTACCGACAGTAAAACACATCGCCGGTGTCATCTACTAAATGCCGTCATTTACCGACTAAACACATCGCCCGGGTTCATCTCACGCACATAAACACATCGCCCTTGCTGTCTCTTACGACATAAACACATCGCCCGCGTGTTCATCTACGACATAAACACATCGGACCCTGTGTCATCTACGACATAAACACATCTGCCCGGTGTCTACTCTACGGAACATAAGACACATCGCCGGTGTCATTTCTACCGACATAAACACATGCCCGGTGTCATTCTACCGACATAACACAGTCGCCCCGGTGTCATCTACCGACATTAACACATTCGCCGGTGTCATCTACGAATTAAACACATCTGTCGTGTGTCATCTTACCGACATAAACACATTTTAAACATAGCCCGCGTGTTCATCTACCGACATAAATCACATCGCCCCGATGTCATCTACGACATAACCACATCGCCCGGTTCATCTACGACATTAAAACACAATCGCGGTGTCATATACGACATAAACAATGCCCGGTTGTATCTACGACATAAACCACATCGCCCTGTGTCATCTACAGACATAAACACATCGCCCGGTGTCATCTACCGACATAAACACATCACCTGTGTCATCTACAGACATAAACAATCACCTGTGTCAATCTACAGACATAAACACAGCACCCTGTGTCATCTACAGACTATAAAACACACGCCCGTGTCATCTACCGACATAACAACATCACCTGTGTCATCTACTAGACATAAAAACACATCCCCTGTGTCATCTACGACATAAACACATCACCCTGTTGTCATCTACAGACATAAAACACATCACCCGGTGTCATCTACCGACATAAACACATCGCCCGGTGTCATCTACCGACATAAACACATCGCTCGTCACTAGATGGCGTGACTAACCACAACCACGGCCATCACACACGAATAAGTATCTGCTGCCGAGTATAAGTTGTCATGGTGATGAAACAAGCAACAAAAACCTTCGATAGCGATAGATGGTAAAGACCACATCGCGACATCACACACAAAAAACCACATCGACATAAATTATACTTAAGGAAAGCATTATTGTTTGAGATCATCACAGAATCTGATCACGTTATCGATGGAAAACAAAAACATATTTCCGATTAAAAGCAGCTATTAGTCATAAATTTTAATTTTATATTCATATTATTAATACGAAACTATATTAAAAATATTTTATCAAATCGTTACTATAGTCGCTACTACAATTGCAACTATATATATATATCGCTACTATAATGTGTTTTACATTAGTCATGTAACACGCACCTGATAATTTGTCGAGTAGTTAGTGCTGACCATGCTCGCTAGCTCCGTGCCGACAGAGCTATGAGTAGACGTCATGCTGCTGCTGTGTGACAGGCCGGGTAGGCTGGGCGGACCCTTGCTGCCTCCGTGCATCGGCCACACCGCCGCGCTCTGGCTGTGCGGGATGCCCTTAGCTGCGACGGATAACTCGTCCTCATCGTCCGACTGGTGCTTGTGCTTGTGAGGGTGGAACTTCGCCGAGAGACTGCGTCTCAGACTCGACTTTCTCATCTTCTTCTTCTTCTTCTTCTCCGTCAATTCTGGCTTCTCCACTGTAATGACACGATAGAGCGCACAGGCGTCGTTAAAGTGATTACGTCAAGAATTTCTAGCACCATCAAGTAGTATATTTGTGTGTTATTTGTACAAAATAAAATATATGAAAATACAATTAGTGTTTCTGTTTACTTTTTATGCTGATATACCTTCTTTATATGCCCTAATTTGCCGGTGAAAAACAGAGAGACGCCAGTATCTGAACAGTACAAGCGTCGTTAAGACGGCAGCCACGTACCGGACTTGCACGGATGTGTGCTTTTGCCTTACACGGGTGAAATAGGTCTGTAATGGTTCTACTTCTACGTACTAGTTTTGTTGTTATCCGTTTCGGATTTCATATTGCTTGGTTTTTCATTTTGAACATTTCATTTGTTTAAACATATTTAGCAACAACAGCATCCACGCACGCACTCACGCACGCACTCACGCACCCGACGCCCGGCTCGCCGCTTACCGACCGCCCCCGCATCGAGACGCTTGCAACTTGACGCACGCACGCACGCACGACCCCGCCGCACATGCTCGCACGCAGGTAAATCAACACTCACGGTCAGCTCCCAGCAAGCCGCTGCCTCCGTTAGTCATCGGGTGTTCGTCGTGGCTCTCTGCGGACTCCATCGTGTCGGACGACTGCGTGCCGTGCTGGTGCTCATCGTCGTACAGCTGCTGCTCCAGCTTCATCGCCTTCTCACCCAGCTCTGCAACAACGCCACGACGACGACACGACGACCGCGGCGGAGATAAATAAATATGGTTCAAAATCTACCTCGCTCTGCCGGCCGCCACGGAACAATTCATGGTTCATACAGGAGAACTGAAATTTTTTTCAAGGACTTTTCCAGGACTTTTCAAGGACATTTTATAGGAAATTCAAGGACATATTTATCGGAAATTCAAGGACATTTTATTCAGACTTATTTATCAAGAATTCATACACAGAACAAAACATACCTGGATTAATTTAATAACCCCATTCTTAATCACTGCATTTCACCTCTAAACTTACCTGTATCACATTAATAAGACCCTTCTAAACACTGTCAATTCTACAGCATACCTTGATTTACTGACTGATTTTAGGGACTTACTGTAATTTGTGATCATCATTTAACTGTCTTATCGGTGTCTATAGCTTTCTTAAGCTCATTTAATGCAATTTTTATTGAGGTTTGCACATTATTGATGGTACAAAATTTCTTTTTATTACAGGCAATGATTTCTTCCTAAAAATTCAAGGACATTTTCATGAAATTCAAGAACATTTTCATGAAATCAAGAACTTTCCAGCACAAAATCAACATTTACTAAGATTCAAGTAGCTTTTCAAGGACTCCCCTCAAATTCAAGGACTTTTCAAGGAGCTGTGACCATCGCAATTACACGCGGCGGCGCGGTGTGACGGCGGCGCCACACGGTGAGCGGATCCACACGCCGCCGCCACGGCGTGTAACACAGCGCACACGGAACAATGACAGCGGCGTGTAAGGGCGGCATCCCACATTTTCACATTTGTTTACAAAAGGAAAACTTGGGTAGGTCTCGATAACTGTATATATACATATATGTATATATATATATACATATACATACATATATATATATATATACTCGTACAGGGGTAAATAATAACAGATCTGCCATTATTTACCCGTCAATATCGTAGCCTGATAGCAGTACATATATACATACATAATACATATACATACATATATATAGTTACACATACATACTAATACATACATACACATACAATATCATACTAAATTATATACATATATATATAAATATATATATATAGCTCGATATCGCACCTGATACATGTGATAAGGCAGAACATACATATATACATACACATACACATACACATACATATACATATATACATATATATATACATATATATACATACATACACATACATACATACATATAAACTCGATATCGCACCTGATAGCAGTTCCTCGGCAGCGACAGTGAATCTCAGTTCCTTGTTGTCGAGCCAGTGAACGTGGAAGCGCGTGCCATCATCCTCCGCATAGATGGGGGGATTGAGAGGAATATCTGTAACAACAACAACAACAACATGCTAGACGTCATCTCATCACGATCGCAGTCTTCAACGGATTTCTTCAGACTTACACGCGACCTCATAAACATCCTCGTCGCTGCTGTCGTCAAAATAATCGATCTCTTCGTCCTCCCCCGTTCGCACTTACACCAACACCCACAAGCTTCATCATCAGACAGGTCAATCAACTCGTCTGCATCATGTCTTGTGGACCTATACACTGACACAGACTATAAACACAGACTATGCGAGTGTTCCCCTCCCCCCGCCCGCGAGCACACACTCACCGGTCGCTGGGTTGATGCTTGCCACCGTAAAGCTTCAGCATCCGACAGGCAATGTTAGAACTTGTCTGTGTCGCTCCGCGCGACACAGATACAGACTACAGACACAGACTACAGACACAGACTGCATGAACATTGCTCCCCCCCCCCATGCGAGCTCAGTCACACTCACCGGTGGCTGGGTTGATGCTGGCAGCGAGGTGGAAGTGAAAGCCGGGCGCGATGCCGGTCGAGTGGATGCCAAACTTGTGGAAGTCATGAACACTCAGCATGCTCGCCATGCTCGGGATCTGCGCGATCGGAAGTCCGTTCTGCGTCATCTGCGACGCTCGGCGGTTCCGCCGCGTCCGGTGAACGTGGAACGAATGCCTGCGGGGGGAACGAACGAACAACGATAATGACACGTTCCATGATCAACACTAGAGCACTCGGAGAGCACAGACCTCCGCCAAGGCAGCTGAATTCTGTCACTGTGAAAAATGTTATTAATTAATTAAGTAATTAAATAATTAATTGGATCCGGATCACCACCAAAATGTAATCAATTCTAAGTTACCCGATTTCAGACGTATCCTGAATATTTTATTAATTAATTAATTGGATCCGGATCACCACCAAAATGTAATGTTACCCCATTTCTGACCTATCCTGAAAATTTAATTAATTAATTGGATCCGGATCACCACCACAATGTAATCAATTTTAAGTTACCCCATTTGTGACCTATCCTGAAAATGATATTAATTAATTAATTAATTAATTGGATCCGGATCACCACCAAAATCTCATCTATTCTAAGTTAGCCCATTTCTGACCCATCCTGAAAATTTTATGACAATCCGTCCATAACTTTTTCAGTTAGGCTGTACACAAACAAACCCACAAACCCACAAACACACAAACGAACAAAACACACGCCGGTGAAAATATAACCTCCTGCCAACCCCTTGGTGGAGGTAATGAGGGGCATCAGCAGATACAGATAGCCGCGTTGTGCATGCTGGTGGTTCACCGTTAGTTAGCGTTGCATCAGACACTAGATGCCAACAGCACATCGCTTACCCATGGTTCATACAGGAAGACTGAAAACATTTTCAAGGACTTTTCAAAGACTTTTCAAGGACATTTTATTGGACATTTTATCGGAATTCATACACAGAACAGAACCAACCTGGATTAATTTAATAATAACCCCATTCTGAATCACTGTCACCTCTAAAACTTACCTGGATCACATTAATAAACCCTTCTAAACACTGTCACTTCTACAACATACCTTGATTTACTGACTGATTTAATGACTTACTGTAATTTGTGATCATCATTTAACTGTCTATACGCTCTACTATTAAGTTAATTTAAGCTACATTTCAACGCTTTTATTTGAGTTTGCACTGTTATTGAGTACAAAAATTTCTTTTTACAGGCAAGGATTCTTTCCTAAAAATTGCAGCGGACATTTCATGAAAATTAAAAGACTTTTCAAGCACGAAAATCAACATTTACAAGATTCAACTACTGTTCAAGGACTCCCTCAAATTCAAGACTTTTCATGACTGTGCGTACCATGTTACCGTGATGTTGTTTCAAGCGCGACATGATCTTCTGCTTCTGTCTCTGCGTCTGGTACTGGTAGGTCTTGACGAGGGGGTCGAACTGAGCGAGGTCGACCAGGCCGTCGTCGGATTCACATCCGACTCTGAGTCGTCGCGAGCTAGACCGACGTCAGCCAGCATGTTTCGGTCAGCGAAGCCCCTGGCAAGGTGGCGCCACAATGGTCACGATCGCGAATGTCGAATAGGCGAAGAAACAAGCGCATTCGATCGTATTCAGCGGTGAATTTTCACACGAAGACACACAGAGTTGGGGACTACTACTTATCCCCCAACATGTGTATAGACTAACAACCCCGGCAATAAATCTCTCACCATAATTAGGTGGCAATACATGGTATACCATATATACAACTAATTATATAATATATTATAACTACACAGTATTATGATCCACCCAATATGAGTACAAAATTGTTAATATAAATATAATATACAGCATAATATAATGTATGGTACTATATACTCATACCATGTAAGTGATATATCCTGTATCGCATCAGATCACTAGGTATACCACACTACTACAGGGGTTAATAATGACAAAGGATTTTGACACGTATTCGGTACTGATTTAACTACATTCAAAAATGTATACAAACATGAGCTTCTTATGTTCATTGGTCCTTATTCTAGCTTCCGATAGTATTACAAACCGCGTAGCTTCCTTCGTTTTGACATAAATCGTTTTTTTGCACGACATGGTTTTGACGTTATTTACCGTCGTGTGGCGTTTCCAAGCCGCAAATTCTCATGCAGAGCAACTGGAAGGAGGCACGGCAGGGAATTTAGGCCGTAGTCTAACCGAGTGCAGAAAATGCGCTTAGAAATTAAGTTGCGTTGCGCCCATGCTGGGTTTAAAAACTAAAACTATTTTACATTTAAACTAGTTAGACTGCCTTGTTTATATGATTGAATCCAGGAGTTTTTTTTTAAATAAACGCTGCGCTGGTAAAATATCTGAACTGCTTCACCCGCGGAGGAATGTGTATGAATCTTAGCGAGTAAATTGACGCTCCCGCTGATCAAGATTGTAGCTTTTCGCACGTGTTTTAACTTTTGCATAGCAACCGTTACTATGCAATTGCAGGCAAACGCATGTGTTTACACCTTACTTATCATGACCAATAGTATGTGATAAAGGCGAGAGTTAACGTCGTCATCACTCGGCTTTGTTAGCCGAACAAAAACTTCTTCGCGAGATAACGTACGGGAGACGCGAAAACCATGTTGTGCAAAAGTACAACTTATGTCAAAACGAAGGAAGCTACGCGGTTTGTAATACTACCAGAAGATAGAATAAGGACCAGTGAACAAAAGAAGCTCATGTTTGTATACATTTATATTTTTACTCACATCGAACTCGTACGACAAAATGTAGTGAAATCAGTACCGAACACGTGTCAAACTCCTTTGTCATTATTAACCCCTGATATATATATTTTTTTTTTAATTTTTTTTTTATGCTAATATTGATTGCTACTTTGGTTGTCAGGCCTGCCACTCGTATACAAATGCATACAAGTGAATGCATACACACGGGCGCCAGAGTGGGAATGCTACCTTGGCATGAACTTGCTGGTCTGCCTCCAGGTTAGCGCGGTTACGGCGCGTGGGTGAGCGAGATAAATGTACGAATAGAACACCTCCTCCTCCTCCTCTTGCTGATGTTCGTGCTCCGACTTATTACAGAACGACACTGAAAACCACAATAACATGACGACGACCGTTTAAACTGACAAAACATTTCGCGCATAATTCGACCCGACCTCTTTAGAACGCAAAACGTGATGCATGAGAGAAAACTGGGTCTTGTAATTTGCATGCATTCAAGCAGCAAGTACTGTAGAATAGTTGAAAACTGGAAATATGTGGTATCATCACCGGTGAATCAACCAAGCTATGCTAAATTGTCTTAAACCGACTTAATTAGGTGCGAATTACGAGGAGGCTGTCCGGAGTCAAATATCCACTGATTTACTGTCAATCCCTGATTTTAATATATATGCAGGAGTCGTGTGATCCCTGAAAGTTCTGGGCATCACACTAGTTCCATTCCGGACGCAATGGCTTGCGGAATTACCGTATTTGCTTCAGCTAATTGTCCAAGAATTTGGCAGACGTGCACTGCCATGAATTTAAAAAGCAGCATGCGTATTTGTTAATATCTTTAATTTTGAACCTCTGACGTGAGACTCCCTCATTTTGCTGCGGACACGCCTTCTTTTTGAGGGAGGGAGTCTGTTGAACTCCTTGTTCAAAAGTTTATTTATTACCCTTGTATTATTATTCTTCAGGCATACGCTGCTGGAGTGTGACATTGTGATTCTAGCTAGTGATTTTCACGAGAAAAAAAAACTGCAAATAATACCTGGGGCTACTCATGGATATATTTGAAGTTTGGCATGTATAGAGCTGCTCGCACCGACTTTGGAAAGGTAAGGACAGTGCAAACCAGAGGACGGAGTACCAGATAGAAGTGTTGATCTTATCTTTATCTCGGCAGTTTATAATCTACAATGAAGCTGAGATATGCAAAGCATATTGTTATACATGTGATTCTAATTGCACTTGCACTACAGATAACCTTGTGTGCGTAATATATCATATTTTCCTTACACCAGATTGGCTTCGTAACGGACCGGAACCGGTGTGTATATTTGTAGCCACACACTGGTACATCACGACTCTCCACATTAAGTGAACTTATATATAAATTGCCACATTTTCAGTAGGTGTGATTCTAATGATTTGTCAGTAAGCGATGTGGCATTCTCATACTATACTTTACTATGTTACGTTTACGTTTCTATTGTAGTGATGATTCACGATCATCGATTATACTCGGATCATCGGCTTGAACGTGGTTGAACCAAGCGGCTTGGTTTCAAAAATCCGATAAAATCAATTTCATAAAAAAAAAAAATACATCAAAATAAATGTATAAACTTGGAAAAGTGATGAGAATCAGAGATATATGCTTACTATAACAAGTTATCCTTTATTAATCATGAGTGTGATTATGACACAGCAGTAGTAAACAGTGCAAAACACAGTAAACGGGCTAAACAAGCAGCATACATTGCACACACGTAATGCCACACTGACGTGTACAGCAACGCAGGCATTCAACACACGAGTAACTGATTGTAACCGATCATTCGTTACTAGGGTCACACGATGCATGCATTACGAATTACAACGATGACAACACTACGCTTATACACACATTTGGATGTACCTTTGGCAAATCTTGAATATATATATGCCTACTTTGCTAGTACATTTTTAGTGTTTATCAATCATTATCCATAATATAACTAACTTGAAGAAACTAATTTTAAAATCCGCATTGTGTTTGTTATGAGGCGTCAGTGCTTGTGCAATCTAATGCTCTGATGTGATTTGCACTGTAAAAATATATTATTTTTTCATGTGCTTACTTCAAACATAATTTCTTATCCTTTATATTCAAATTAATTATTATAATATTAAAGCTATTAGTGTTTATTTTGTTTGTTAATTGCAATGCACCTTGAATTATCAAATGGGGATTTTAGTTATATCTCATAGATGTCTATCGATTAAAATGCAGTATGAAAGCAAAATTTAATTGAATGTAATACTGAAGTCTTAGGTAATGCTTCCTTTAAATCACAGGGTTTATGTATACTTAAATTATGAAACACTTAAACATTTAAACTATATTTATTTCATTAAAAAATCTAAATTACGGTTTGATGGTTTGTAATTAAGTAATTAGTTTGAGGTTGATGTGCCATATATGACGTATATAATGCCCACTTACTTTTCTGTAAAGGTACTTATATATCCACGGTAATTCTTTTACAGAAGCTAGATTATGAATGGTATCAGACAGCTGTGATTTCAACCCAATCTGAAGTGACTAACTTATCATGGAATACCGAAGGTAATCGTCCAATGAACCTAGATGCGACGTTCTTCACACATATCGTTTTTTTCGCATGTAAAAACAAGGTTTATTATTTGTGTTAGTAGGTGTAACAATACCGGAAGAATTGTTAAAAGTCGTGTTGGAAGCACTCTGGTGTATGATATATATAAAATATATAAAAAAGAATAGATAGAATAAAGAAAAAAAATAAATAATAAGAGCCCTATTTATTCAGGCGACCACTAAAGCATCTTAATGTCAATTTTCTTAAAGTAAAAAAACATTTTAAAAAAAATGGATTGGACAGTTCCTGGCTTCAAAAGGCACACGCACATCTTTCGGACTGGTTTCGTAAATAAAACCTACCATATTTTTTTTTTTTCGGTAATGTAACGGTAACACTATTTTGTTTTGGCCGAAGTTAAGTTGTTGCTAGTTTAGGAGAAGGAAAACTGTGATTTCAAACCACCTGCTGCCTTGCAGACTGAGCTTTTCTAGGCAAAGGCTCGGGGGGGGGGGGGGGCACTACCGGCGATAATAGTGGTTGGTGTTAGCAAGGGCATGCAACCAGTAAAAATCCGCGATAAACATATGGAAAATCAAAGAAGAAGGTGTACGATTGCCGTTCTGTTTCTGGCAGGTACAAAGTTGCTCACGGGTGCCAGCAGCATACAGCTGTGGGTCTACGAAGAAAGGCAGGGCGGCAGCGGCAGCGCCTCAGACTCCATTAAGTTTTCAGCCGGTCCGCCCGCTTCGCAGAATGCACCGCAGAAGGAGGAGTCCGTGTCGTTTCAGCTTGGAGGAGGTGAAGAGGAGGAGGAGGCGAAGAGGAAGTAGCGACGTGGAAATGCGTCTGAAGTGCAGTGAGTATCGTCGCCCCGGTTACGAACACGTGTCGTTTTTATTGGTCACTACATTGTAAATTTCTGTTCTACGGACGGTGATCAGCTATCAGCGGATCGCTGTAATCCGCAGATGCAGCTTATCAGCAGATTTAGCTTACGCGCGGATCAGCTATCAGTGGATCAGCTATCCGCAGATCAGCTATCCGCAGATCAGCTATCAGTGGATCAGCTATCAGCTATCAGCGGATCAGCTATGGTAAAATGTTGCTGTACATTGCTAGGACGTCAAGCCCCGTGTCTCATCTGAAGTTTTCCCCGATGGCTTGTTGTTTGCATCTGCTGGCAGCGACGACAGACTGGTAAAAGAGTCTGTACGAAAACAAGAGAAGGTGCGTGCGTGTAGTAGTGCGTGCATGCGTGCGTGTGTAAAAAAATTTCCATCGTCTTTATTTTTATTTGTTATTTTATTCGCATTTATGAAACCTGTACAGGTTAACTATTACTTTCATTTTAAGCCAATTAACGACAACCTTTAACTAATTAAGTCGGTTTAAGACAATTTAGCATAGCTTGGTTGATTCACCGGTGA